GTCTCGTGCTCCTGTGCTTCTCTTATTGACCCAAGCCGCCCCATCACAACCACCAGGACACCGGCGGCACCGACGACCTCAGAGAAGGGACTGGACATCAAGGGGACAGGAAGAGGGGCTGGGAGGACAAGGTCACCATCTGATCAGAAAGAGCTGTTTTTTTAATTTGTTATTGATGTTTTATTATTTTTTTAATTTAAATTCTTTATTATTGAAAGTATTACATGTCTTCCCCCCCCACCGACCTGTCTCCGCACGCTCCCGCCCCCCAGCACATGCCCTCATCCCCCTACTGGACACGGCTGTGTTTCCCAAGGGCTATGCCACGGGCCCACAGATGGTGTGGCTTCTGGGCAAAGCAACCGTGACCCAACCCAGAGCAGGGTCTTGGCAACCCGCCATCCTGGTGTGCCGAGGCCTGTGGGTCCCCGGGGACCATGGTGGGCGGCCCTCAGGGTCCAGCTGTCCCGGCAGCAGCCGGTTCTCCTCAAGGAGGGGGCGGGAACAGCACACTATATCAAGGGTCAAGTTTTATCTTTTAAACGCACAATGTGCTCAGCCAGAACAAAACAAAGCCTTTCCAAGATGCTTTCCAAATTCCAGACACTCACTGAGCTGCAAAGCGGCCCTGCTTCCTCTTATTTTCATCTCATGCCGGCTGGGTTTATAATAAAAGAGAATAACCTATTTATTTGCTTACCTTACACTTGAAAAGACAATAAATTGGAAAGGCTTCATAAATCTCACAGGGAATTCCTTTAAACAAGGACTGTCAGCAAAGCTCCATGAATAACCTTCCGCCAGCCTAGCAATCACCTCCAACACTCTTTTTCCTTCCTGCTTTTGTGCTAATCTCCCAGCAAACAAATCAGATCAAGCACCAAAGGCTTTTATTCTTCTCGTGGTAAGACTCGGAAAACATCCGGGAGTCCGCTCAGGCTGCTGACTTCTGGGGGCTGACACTGGATATAAGGTTGAGGCCAAGGGGGCCAGACCAGGACACCCCTGCACCCTCCAAACCAGCCACACGGCTCTCGCTGACTGACAAAACCAGCCCGGGGAGTCACAAACAGAGCCTGGGGGCACGGCACCAACTCATCTGCAGCGAGCCACCTGGAACCACCAGCAAAGCCGGGGCAGACACCCTATGCACAGGCTCTCCCACTTCCTCCACTGCGTGAGGCTGGGTCACCTCCCCCTCCCCGCCCGTGTGGATGGAGCCTCCACATCCAGGGGGCTGCTGGTGAAGCTCATTCATTGGAAGGTCCAGTCCAAGCCCAGGCCTCCCTGACCAGGCCCTGCCCACCAGGCTAACCCATCTCACCATGCGCCCTGGACGGGGCTGATGAAAATGACCTTGGGCAGCTCAGAAGCACCAGGAGACGGACAGGCTCACGGAGGTTTCAAGGACTGAGCTAAAAATAAGTTTAAACAAGAGGCAGGCGGAGGCTGGAGGACAACCAAACATGGGGGACTTGAACGAGTCGCTGTAATCAATTTACGATCAGGAAAGGACCACGGCACCAGAGGGGGAACTTCCCCAGCCACAGGCTGAAAATTCGCCAGCCACGCCAACAGCCACACCCCCTGCACAGAAAGGCATGTTTCCAGAAAGGCCCAGCCCCTTGAGATGCCCATCGGCTCCGGAGCCTTGAAGCTTCACCTCAAGACCCTTGTTCTGAGCGCGCCCACAGACAGGCCCGCCTGGTGAGGGTGCAGATGTGGGCTTCTGACTCAAGCCCCACTGAGGCTGGCGTGCAGCACCTGTCACCAAAGACCTGTGTCCCTGCACCTCAGAGCTGGCCGAGCTGGCCGTGAGCGCATTCACTGTGACCTCATGGACACACCAAGTCCTGCGGGCACGTGCCTGGTGCTCAATAAAAGCAGCCGTATTATTACTATTTATCCCCCAAACTTAGGTATTTCTAATATTCTTGAATGTAAGCTCATTCTAGAAACGTCCAGCCCAAACCCAGGCCTCGCCCAGCAGATCTTTCCAACAGGCACCCTCTGAAATGCCACCTGACCATCTGCACACCTCAAGGACGTCTCCAAGCCTCGGCCAGCGGGGCTGGGCCAGGGTAGCAAGCTGCTCGCCCACTTCCCTTCAAGTCCATTAGGACTTAAGATCCACCTTGAAGCGACCCTGTGGAGCCAGGCACGGGGCCCAAGGCGAGGGCAGGACCGCAGCGACCCCGGGGCTGCCTGCACAGCTGAGGATGGCACCACTGAATATGCTTGTTGCCGCCCTTCCGACACAACACACGTGTCTCCCTTATGTTTAAATGAAGCGCAGCCTTTGGGCAACTTTTCCCTGGTGGGGACCACAGAGGGAGCTGCTGTTAGGCATGGAGGGCCTGGGCCTTCCCAGCTCTCTGTTCAGGGTCCAGGACGCTGGTGCAAACACCCTGCCCACCGGCTCCGACAGCCTTCTGGACGTGCTGGGTGCCAGCCTTTCAGCTCCTGGGCCCAACTCTGGTGAGCAAGTGACCATGTCGTCACTGCCCGGCTGCTGGGCGGCTCAGAGGGCCTCCCCGGGGCCAAGGATGCTGAGACACAAGGTTCAGGGCGGAGGCCAAGGCGTGTGTAGTCTGAGCTCAGGCGTGAAGGTGTCCTAACACCTCGAATCCGCACATGAGACGTGCCCAGAGCCGCTGGGCGCAATGAAGGCGGTCACCGCCCTCAGTGCTGGGGCCCTGGGGGCGGGGGGTTAACCAGCACTGGGAAGGCATTTCCAGCAACAACCAGAAAATTAATAAACACAGCGACCCCAGGTAAAATGTAAAAGAATTCTGAGACTCATTTCCCCCAACTGAATAGAAATAAGAGACTATTAAAACCTATGAGAAAGCGAGATGATAGTGGCTTTGCTCACAGTGCAACAGCATCTTCCCCTTAAACAGCTCCTCCCGAGGGAAGCCGCAATCCTACCTGACACCCAGGACACGCAGGACATGCAGGGACACTGACCAGGTGGCGTCCCCACAGGAAAGCTCCCAGTCCTCCAGGCTTTGCACCCGCTGGCCTCACCAACCTCTGCCTGCCTCCCGCAGCCAGAGCCAGCCTTCCTGCTCAGAGGACCGCTCTGATGAGGGTGGGGATGGGACGGGCCTGGCTGGGGGGCCCGTTCTGTGACCACGTGGTGTTCACGCACCGCCTGTCAAGGCCTGCAGAACTGCACACTGAAGGGAAACTGCACTCAGTGTCAATTCTATTGACATAATCAAGCTTTAAAAGAACGAAAACAAGTGACTCTCCCGGTGCAGCAACTATGACCACACTGCGGCCAGGCGGCCTTGCCATCTGAGGGCGGGGACACCTGCAGTGGCCCTGCCCGCCAGCTCTCCCGGGGGATGGCCCCAGTCCCCTTAGCACAGCCGTCACCGCCTCTACACACAGGCTGAAACCAGCTGTGCCCCGAACAACAGTGCCGGGAACGGGACTAGTCCTCCAGCAGCTGAGCCAGGAAACAGAAAGTTGAGACTCCCCTCAAGTATGTGCCTTAATTGATCTCACCTTGGGGTCCATCCATCACTTCAGCCGCCCACACGCCTGTCAGCCTAACGCCAAATCCATGTGCTACAGGTGAGGACAGGGCAGGTTCCCGTCGGCCCTTCGCCATGTGGCTGGGTCTATCCTGGCTGGGGCTGCCACTGTCATCCTGGGCCAGTCTGGGATGTGGGTGCATGGGCCGGGCCAGCAGCCCCTCTGAGCTCCCCCTAGAGGCCACACCCAGCCTGACAGCTCCCTGTTGGGTGGCGCTGAGACTCCAGGGGTGCCTCCATGCAGAACCCAGGTACCGGTGCTGAAGGGGAAGGCGCCTGGGTGGCCGTTCACCCAGGGCGAAGGGCAGAGCCTCTCCCACCCCCATCCCTTCTGTTAGAGAGGACCACCACCCTGTGCCCCTGTAGATGACCAACAGGGAGGCAGAGAGAAAAGTGACACAGACAACATACCTTCGCCCTATCAGCTGGGTCGGAAGGACATGGCAGGACCATGCCCAGGCGCCCGGGACAGAACTCAAGCTGCGGCCTAAGTTACACTGAGGGAAACGGTGATGGACCCACCATGCACCCCAGTCTCTGAGCAGACCCCGACGTCTCCCTCTTGGCCCCGCAGCCAGCTGGGCACCTACTGTTACGGGCCCGAGCACTCCTCTGCAGTTGCTCCACCCTCACCCGCAGAGCCCGAGCTGGTTCACTCGCCCAGGAACCATGGCCACAGCCCTAAAATGCCGCACCTGCTGGCGGTACATCTGAACTCAGGGCCACTCCGTGGCCTTCCAGCCCTCTCAGCTTCTGCAGACCCAGCCCTCCCACTGCCCCACCCTCATTCTCTTTATACCAATGAAACAGTGATGCCCAACAGTGCCCGCATTTGAGAATTCACTCAAGGCGAGCTATGGGTTTGCCATGCACAAGTCAACTGCCCACACAGATACCCTGAGGTGGATGCAAACAACAACCCTGCCGTGAGGACAGAGGACAAGGAGGCGGGGGTCCCTTGCCCAGGCCTTCAGCTAGTCAGGATGGGGATGGATGTTATGTCTCACACAACACACAGTAATTCTCCAATCACAGGAGAGCAACAAATGTCAAGTCTTCAGTGGGCCACCCTCCCCGCCCCTCAGCCTGGGAACCCACCCTCCGCCCGTGCACCGGAGCCCCTGGCCCCACCCAGCTCGTATACATTCAGTGCTTCGCGGAGCTTCAGCATAAACCCTCCCGGCTCTTCCTCGGAGCCCTGGCACCTGGCACGCAGGAGTAGCTCTATTTGCTGGAGAAGCACATTCTCCTTAAAGGAGCAATTCTCAGAAGAAGCAAATCTATCTCAATGTCACTGAACAAATTTCCACAAATCAATCCAAACGGAATCACCTTACCATACATAATGTAAACATTTAAAACCCCATGCATAAAGTATTACACACCGTTTTTATTTGATCTACTAAACTAGAGCTTCCCTAAATCTCTTAAAGGTGGTTTTTCCAGGAATGGCACCTGCTTAACTGGGAGGGACACACATAACCGCGCTGCCTAGCACTGCGACACTGCTCACGGGGCTATCTCCGCCCGGCGTCCCATTTCACTTGGCATTTAATCTCTATTAGGAGGTTTACCTGGAAGTAGAAAGGTATCCGAGTCTGCATAACCCCATGAATCATAAAGTCACTTATTTCTACCCCAAGTCCAAAAGCAGCCCCGAGAGAAACTGCCAGGACCCCAAAGGCGTGGGGGCTGCCTGACGCACACCCAGCCCTGCGCTGCTCTGCCAGGTGTCGTTACGGGAATGGCTGCCATTTCCCTCAAGGAGTACCCCCAAAGCCCCCCAGAAGTAGTTACCCCAGCTACTTGGGCAAATTCTGTAGCCCAAGACGAGGTCTCACATCAAGGGCAGATGGAGGCCCCTTAAATCATTCTCCTCTTTGGACATCATGCTCGTCTTTTCAAGGTCACCTTCAGGGAGCAGGAGTGACTCCCGAGGAAGCTCCAGGCTCCCAACTGCATGGGCTTCCCTGCCCGCTCCCTGCCTTCAAATCCATGCACACACCCTCACCACTACAACTGGGGTGTGAACGCGCGGTTTGGAGGACCAGTTCCGACCCTGGTCCATCATCTATCACCTGTGAGCGCACCTCGTGGCTGCTGAGGCTAGTCTGTCGATTCCCAAGTGGGCGGTGACCACACTGCCTCCCCGTCTCATGTCAGGGTTGCTACTAACAAAATAAGCACGTGTGCCCAAAGGGTTTCTGCCAACAGAACACAGTAAGCTGCCATCGACGTGGAAACGGGAGCTGTCGGCCTCAGCAAATCGAGAAAAAGGATTTGCTGTAAAACGCGTTTCCTTCCGTTTCTGAGTCGAAGGTGTCTCCCCAAATCTGAGTCTGGCACAGCGATGCAGGGCTGCTGTCGGACTGGAGCTCCTGGAGGTGGGCATGCCTGGTGCTGGTCCCAAGTTCAGGCTCCCTGGGACTCTGACCCCACCGCATCCGCCTGGACTTGTGTCTACAGATTTTCCAAGTGCGCTTCCGGGGGCAGCCCATTTTTACAGACATTGACTTAGTGAAGATGTTTCTCTCCTTGGCAGTGCCCGGTGACACTCCGCCCCGCCTCCTCTCGTGCCAAGTGCGTCAGAATATGGCCCCAACTCCAATTTTAGCGGACACACAGGAAATGGAATGTGCTGCTCAACTGGGTGGAGAAGCCCTCTTAAACCAAAAGAGAGAGAGGGACTAGGTTGGGCAGAAATCCCTACCTCCACTTTTAACCCAGTTGTTCAGATCTGGGTTGGGTGGGTGGTGAAAGTTCCATAAAATCTTTCAATCATTCCTTCTGCCAAATGTTCAAACCATAGGCCCAAGCGTGTGGCGTGCTGGGAGCCGTTTGTTTTGGGGGGAGGAGTCTGCGTGCTGCTGGCAGGTCTGGGGCTGCTGCACCGAGAACCACGGGAAGTTGTTAAAAACACAGATGCTCCGGCCCTGCCTGCAGCTTCTCTGAGGGGGCGCTGGGTGGAGCCCCGGGAGACTGTCTCCCGGCCAGGGGTGCCCTGGGGATCCCTCTGCTCCAGAGGCCACCCTCTCAAACCACCTGGGCTCCCCCTGGCGACTGCAGGAGTCACTCATGTGAAAAGCGCCGTGCCCACAGCCAGCCTCTCACACTGAACGACTAAACTCGCGCAGACTCCCGGGCCGGGCTGGGGAGACTGGCGGCTCCAACGGGGCAGAGGAGAGCAGGGGACTTGGTGTCAATTACCCAACACCCAGAGCGCTGCCGTGGCCACTGTTCTGCCACTCTGCAGTGACACTAGCGATCCCGGTAACAAACAGGACTGCCAGAACGTTTCCCAGCAGCCACTGCTTCCTTACCTCGAATCTCCCACCCCCGCATGTGCAGTGGTGGAGCTAGGACAACCTGACCCGACCCCAGTGTGCCTGTACTCCAGCATCGGCTGCCTCCCAAAGGCATTTTCAAGGATCATCTGACTTTCCAATGCAATTCCTTTAATGGCATGAATTCAGCCCAGAGAAACCGCTGGTCCATGAAATGACCAGCCCATCCTGAAGGGACTACCGGTCTCTTCCACGGGCCTTGGAAGGGCATCCCCCAGCCCCACCTCCCCGTTCCACCCGCAGGAGCCCCTGCCGCACCTGGAGCCCGACAGGCCGCGCAGCAGTGACAGCGCCCAGGGTTCGCATCCTCACCAGACTGCGCTGACCTGTGGACGCCGGCTGGCCCTGGCCCTGGCCCTGCGGTCGGTCCCCGCGACTGAATGAATGCCCGGGAGGAGACCCAGTGCCACCCACCGCCAGGGCGGGTCAGGAACACTCGCGAACACCCACAACAAGTCGGCCAGTGGGACCCAGGCCAGTCACTAGACTGCTGCGGCCTGAGTGCCCCCACGTGCCAGGAAGACAAACCCACCAAGCCAGCCCAGTGCTCATAGCACCTGGATGCACTGACTGTTCTGCTGCCCATGGACTGGCAAGGTGGCACCTCAAGGCCACCTGCACTTCCTTTATCTGCTCTGTGAACAGGGTGCCAACCCTCCCCCCTGAGCAGACCCCGGTGTCAGGGGGGCCTGGAGAGGCAGACAGGCTGGGCCCGTCCCCGGACAAAGGCGGGGGCACAGAGCTGCTTACTTTTCCTTCTTCTCTGGGAAGGGAAAGTAGGTCTGAAATAGAAAGTAAATATTTTACTAGGCATTTCTCAAGTGACCTAATACGGAATAACATTCCACAGTCTAACAACCACCTCCTGAGTGGGTTCAATTCGTCACTGTGGCCCCAGGAATGCAGGGGCAGAGGGGGGCCAGGCCTGCCCCTTCCCTGCGGATTCCCCAGCTCCCACCCGACCCTGCTCCCTGTGCCCCCTGCGCCCTTCAACTGGCTCCACGCGATTCATCCGTCCTGTCCTCCCTGTAAAGGATGAAACCAACCCGCCTGCCGGTGCCAGGCTCATCCCTGCACACACGCAGGTGAACCGCCCCACTGGTCACACAGCGCCTCCAGGCGAGAGCGGCTGAGTTACTTGTTTATTTAGTTTGTATTTTAAAAATGTAACAAACACCTGTGATGTGTCAGGCCTATTCTAAGTGCTTTCCAAACATTATTACCTCGTTGGATCCTACACCCGCCTATTCCTACCCTCATTTTATGCTCAGAAATGAAGTCCTTTGCGAGGACTCGGGAAACCCCGAACGCAGCCAAGCGTCTCTGCCCATCCCTTCCTTACCCACCTGCCAGCAGGCTGTCCCAGCGCGGCCACCCCCCTGCTGGCCCGCTGGGTGTTCCTTACTGTGGCGCACACTGAGGGCAGGGCCATCGCCCGTGGGCCGCCTCAGCCCTGAGGGCACAGAGAGATGTCCGTGGGCCCTCTCCCTGGTCAGAGGGCTGCCGGGTGGCTGCGGCCCTAGCAAAGCTTTAGGGTCTGAGCGAGAGGCCAGACACGCTAAGTAGTCACCAGGCTGCAAAACTGCCGGCTACAGAAGTGACAGATGTGGCCCCAAAGTGGTCTCTGCCTGGCCAGCCTTCTTCCCACAAATGACAAGGAACCCCCTCTCCCGTCACTCTCTCTAAGACGCCACTTGCCCCCCGCTATTGAGAAGATGAAGGAATTGGGGGGGGGGACCCTTTTACACTCCTTTGCAGAGAAACAATTTAAAGAGCCAGGGCTACGTTGCAGTGTGTGTTTCAAGTGGTTTTGTGAGCTCCGAGGGGCTAAGCCAGCCGTGGGCAAACTACAGCCCGCGGGCCGGATCCAGCCCGTTTGAAATGAATAAAACTAAACTAAAAAAAAGACCGTACCAAACTAAAAAAAAAAAGACCGTACCCTTTTATGTAATGATGTTTACTTTGAATTTACATTAGTTCACACAAACACTCCATCCATGCTTTGGTTCCGGCCCTCCGGTCCAGTGTAAGAACCCATTGGGCCCTCGAGTCAGAAAGTGTGCCCACCCCTGGGCTAAGCTCAGGCCTGGGCGAGGCCTGCAGCAGGAGCACAGCCCCAAAGCCCGCCCCTCCCGCCCCTGGGACACAGGGGCCCCATAAGGCAAGCTGGCCAGGACCACAGAGGAAGCAGCTCCAAGTGCCCGCGTTCTCTGTCCACTCCACTCGGAGCACATCTGGCCAGATTAGGGAGGAAAAACCTACCCATAGTTCAAAGTCCTCCTTAAATCCCCAGGAAGCCAGCAACACAGACAGAATGCCAACTTCAATGCCGAAGTCTCCTGGTTTTTGTCAGCTGAAGCCACACTCTTAATCCCGGGCTTAGCTGAGAAATGAGAAGGATGGTGTGTGTGGCAAACACCCCCCCAGGAGCAGGGAGAACGCCGGAGCCCCACAGGGCCCGGAAAGCAGGGGCTCGGGAACGGCTCCCGTGGCACCAGCGTGGGGCCTGCTGGAGGCCTGGACACCAAGCTCAGGGTCTCCTACAGAGCCAGGGGTCCCCACCTCCCACACCACAGACCTAGGCCCATGTAAGACCACCCACACCCTGGCTCCCGCTGTGGCCCGCCAGCCAAGGGCGACACACTGAAAGTGATGTCAGAGCCACCAGGCCCGGCCACATCCACGTTCAGACACGCGGGCCCCAGAGGGCCGCTCCTCCCTTCTCCGTCCGGCAGAACCTGTGAGCGGCCGCGGAGGGATCTGGCCCAGGGCTGCTGCTGACCCCCACCGCACAACCTTCCCCACCCCTGGAGACCCTCGGGCAGCTGCAGGGGCTCCACAGAACATAGCCATCACCAAGCTGGAGCTGGGCCAGCACGTGGGTGAACACAACTCGCTGGCCAAGACAGCCCCCACCGCCCCCC